GAGCCCCGGACCAATTAGAAACAAAAATAAATAGAAACATCGTACCAATAAAAGGAACCCAAGGGGTATACTCTTCGCCAATTTGAGTTTTACTCACATCTCGAATGAATTCAAGAACATATTCAAATAAATTCTGACCCCCATTAGGAATGATTTGTGGGTTGCGAACAGCTAGAGTAGCAGAACCAATTAAGATACCAATTACAACCCAAGAAGTTATAAGGACTTGGCCGTGGACTAGGAAATTCCCTATTTGCCAATATAAATGTTGACCTACTTCTACACCAGATATTTCGTATAACCCCATGGGGTAATTGCTAGAAAAAAAAAAAAGATTCATATGACCCCCTTAATTATTTTAATGCCAAAATCTATTTGTCTAATTCAATTGGATCTTGTCATTTTTAATAGAAACAAATCAAAAAATCTAACTTTTGAAGACTCAGTAACTTATGAAAGGAATCTATGTTATTTTTGAAGTAAGTTTTTTAATTTTTTATTAGTTATTTTTTTATTTCTTTATCAAGAATTTATTTTATAGCTAAAACGGCCCTCACAAATTGCAAATATTAATTTGTTAAGAATCAATCGAATTGAAGAGATAGCGTCATCATTTGCTGGAATTGAAATGTCTGATAGATTGGGGTCGCAATTAGTATCGATTAAAGAAATTGTTGGAATTCCTAAAGTTATACATTCTCGCAAGGCCATATATTCTTTGTGCTGATCAATAATGATTACAATATCGGGTAAGCCTGTCATATATCGAATTCCACCCAGATATGTTTCGAAACGCGCTAATTGTCTTTTGAGCACAGTTGCATCTCTTTTTGGAAGATAATGGAACCCCCTCTTTTTTTGTTCCATTCTCAAGTCCCTAAACTTCTGAAGTCTTGTTTCTGTGGTGGACCAATTCGTTAACATACCGGCAAGCCATTTTTTATTAACATAATGACATCGGGCCTTTATGGAAGCTCGGGCTACTAAATTAGCTGTTTTAGTGTTAGTACCCACAATTAAAAAATTTTTTCCTCTACTTGCTGCATCAAAAACCAAATCACAAGCTTCCGATAAAAAACGAGCAGTTCCGATCAGATTTATAATATGAATATCTTTACGCTTTATAAAAATAAAAGGTGCCATTTTAGGATTCCATTTCCTAGTACCATGACCCAAATGGACTCCAGCCTGCATCATTTCGTCCAAATTGATGTTCCAATATCTTTTTGTCATTGAAATAGATCCCCCCTTTTAGATTCTGTTTAAGAAAAAAATTAACGAGGAATTTTGAATTAAATTAAAAACGTGTTCCAACGGAACCTTATCCTCTATAGTCATCTATACTAAATTGCCGATATATATAATATATACGCCCCAATAATTATTATTTTCTATTTTTCTATTTCTAAATCAACCGGCGAAATTGAGAAAGCATACAAGATATTAATTTGCTCTTAGGAATCTTTCTAAATCCTATCAATTATGTGATATCTTTTTTTTATTTTTTGAAAGGAACGATTTCAAAAGTTTTCTATAAGGGAATAAAATATCTCTAACCCCCGCCTCAAATAGATTGTTTTTTTGTTTTTGGAAGGAACTTTTATTATATTGTTTTGAGGGGTAGACTAATGCTCTGAATCCAGTCCCGGCCGGTATAACCCCACCCAAAACAACATTTTCTTTCAAGCCTTTCAACCAATCGATCCGCCCCACCAGAGCCGCTTTTGCTAAAACCCGAGCAGTTTCTTGAAAACTCGCTTCCGATATGAAACTTTGAGTATGGAGAGATGCTTTTGTTATTCCCAGTAATACGGCTCTATAATAAATAGGTTCTTCTAAAGCACGCCCCATCCGTTCTGCCCGCAACAATTCAATAAGTTCTCCAGGCGAAAAAACATTAGAAATTCCATCTTCTGAAACTAAAACTTTTGCTGTGATTTGACGTACAATAATTTCAATATGCCGATTATGAATCTGGACCCCCTGAGATCTATAAACTTTTTGGATCTTATGAATAAAAGAGATACGACTTTGCACTATAGTTAACTCAGCACTAATAAAAAATCCCCAATGAATTCCAAGAATTCCGGTTATAAATTTGTCCCAATCCACAAACCTCCTTTGTAGATTCATTGATATGGAATCAACCGAACGCACTTCTAAGACCTGTTCTACTTTTGGAAGGCCTTGTGTTATATCACCGGATCTTGATTTTTCATAGTTAAAAGCAACTATTGTATCGCCGGCAAAAAGGGGTTTTCCATAAAGGCCATGAACAATTGCTCCTGGGGGGGCTAAATAAGGCTTAGCTGATCGTATTACTACAGAGTCAAGTTTGACAAGAATAACTTGACCCGAGTTTATAACAGGTATTCTTTTTTCTATATATACATTTTTACAAATAAGCTGTCCAAGACTTAGTCTTTTATATGTCGCTGTCCAATGATTTTGGTAAAGAAAAGACCCATTCAAACTAAATGCATTCAAAATAATGTTACTGCATGGATTAAAATTGTAAAATTTCTTGTTTTCCGCAAGAAAATAATATTTAAAATTGAATACTTGACAGGGCAGTTTTACCTTGTCGAGTTTTAAATAATTAGTGACTAAACTCAGATTTTTAGTTAATAACCGATTCAACGAATCACAATTCACAATTGGAAGGTATGTTCCTAAAGGACCCAAATAATTATTAATATCAAGGCTTGGGGAATGCTTTTGTATTGAGGCTTTTCTGACGTTGTGATATTTTACACCGTTAAAAAAGTCCATTTGAAAACAATTTGATGATGACAAAATAATAAAGGACTTATATTCCTTATTTTGATTCCAAAATGTATGAATAGTTCCTTTTTTTTCGTTAAGGGTTTCGTCAATCCGTGTCTTAGAAAATGAATTTTTTGTGGTCCAAATTAATTCATTATTAGCAAATAATCCTAAACCCAAAGGATCATTCCTTTTTGAGATATACGAAAGTCGTGCGTTCGCAAAGTTAATTCTTAGGAAATGACGAATCAAATTTTTTATTCTTATTTCATAAACGGAAGTGCGGGCTGCTTCACTAGAATAACTTTTCGTATCCTGGTTGCAATGATAAACTAAACACGCCCGAACTAATTGAAGACTTGGGTCATAATTTTCTTGAATTAGTTTGTCAGTTAGATAAAGGATATACTTTATAACCCGAAGTTGCACATTATCCCTTTCCCGCAATAAATCGGGATTAAAGAGTGTTGTCAAACTTATACCGTCTATTATTTCATATTTGATGCAAGGTCGAATCAAGACAAAAGACTTTTTATTACTTGGTGTAATCCGTTGGGCATAAATCAAATTTGTAATTTTTTTTCTTTGATTGTAATTTGGCTTTCCCGTTACAGGTGTTATCAAAACATGTTTACATTGGGATATTTTCTCTGTGCGACCAATAAAATAGATCTCGCCAGAAAATATTTTCAGTTCAATTGTTTTTTCTTTTCTATCCACCCTGACCAACCCACTGACTTGGCTTCTTCTATTTAAGGTTATTTTTGTATCTATTCCAATGATACTATGGTTCCGTACCATTATCGAAGAAGATCCAGGTAGGATATGCACTTCGTCGGGAAAAAAAAAAAAGTGCTCTCCTTTTCTTTTTGGTTTAAATTCTTTTACTCGCGGATACTTAATAAAACTTTCTTTTTGAATGATTGAATGAGTCCCATCTTGGGATTTAGTACTGTCTAAATGATTGATTCTGGACTGGGTCTCGTCAAAATAAGCAATAATAGTGTTTTGAAAAAAAACACCATTTGCAGGTATTTTCATTGAGATATTTGACTTGGGTAGTAGTTTAATTTTACCTTCTTGAATTGATTGGAGGGGAATGCTAAATTGATTTCTTCGCCTCTTTGATAATAAATTTGATAAAAAATAAAAATTTACGTCTGAATAATAAGCAAAGTCCTCTTTGTTTTTACCAGAAAAAACCGCACGGCGGATTTCTTGTCTAGTCTGATTATTCAGTTTTGATAGGTTGGAAATAGATCTTCGTTTAAGCGAAGAAAGGGAAGGAGTACTCATTTGATCCTGGTCCCCGTGACTTGAAAAGGAAACTGGACTAGAAAGACAAGGCTCTCCTAATAATATCCATAAATGGCTTGTTTTGGATAATAAATGAACATTCCCATATGCAAATTCTGATCCATGATAAACATCCGTACTCCAGTGGATTTCTCCATCTGAATCAGAATAAATATTTTTATGCACCTTCTCTTTAAAATGAAAACTCGATGCTCTCGGGCAAATCTCAGCAATAATTTGTTCGGATTCTACATATTCGTTTTGAACTAAAAGAACACTTTTAAGAGGAATTTTGATATTATGTAGAGTATGTTCACTCTCTATAGTTAGATACAAATCTATAGAACATAGAAAAGCGGGATGTCCATGACGTGTACGTGTCGGATGAACCAAATCCTCATGAAATCTTATTTTTCCATTCAAAGGGGCCCGGACATGTTCTGCAGTACCCCCCTGTGAATACTCCGCCTGTATGGAAAGTTCTTAATGTTAATTGAGTACCAGGTTCTCCAATTGATTGACCTGCAATAATACCTACGGCTTCTCCCAATTCTACCAGATCACCATGAGTAGGACTTCTACCATAACATAATTGACAAATCCAAGATGTACTCCCTACAAGTAAAGGGAGTTCTAATCAATATTGATTGGGCTCGAAATTTTATAAATCTATTTAAAAGTCCAACTCCAATGTTTTGATTCCTAGTGGCAATACAGCGTGAGCTTATAAATAGATCATCTGCTAATACCCGACCAATTACTGTTTGGATAAAAATACTTTCTGGCATCATTCCGTTCTTAGGACTCACATAAACCCCGCGAACAGTGCCACAATCGGTTCGACGTACCACAATATGTTGAACTACTTCAACAAGTCTACGCGTCAGATATCCAGCATCCGAGGTTCGGACAGCAGTATCCACAACCCCTTTACGGGCCCCATAGCAAGAAATTATGTATTCCGTTAAAGAAAGTCCTTCACGTAAATTACTTTGAATCGGTAAATCAATCATTTGTCCTTGTGGATCTGACATTAAGCCTCTCATACCTACCAATTGATGTACCTGAGATGCATTTCCTCTAGCTCCGGAGAAAGACATTATATGAACTGGATTCAAAGGGTCAGTGATCCTAAAATTAGGATTCATTTCTTGTCGCAAATACTCACTTGTAACATACCATATTTCAATGGATTGACGTAATTTTTCTACTGCGTGCACATTTCCATATTGATTGTTTTTTTTCAAAAATCGAACTTTGATGTTCAGCATCTTGAACAAGCCACCCCTTGGCAGGTATTGTTAAAAGATCATCAATTCCTAATGAAATGGATACAGTAGTCGCTTGTTGAAAACCCAGATTTTTTACTTGATCCAGGATATGTGATGTATATGCCATTCCGAAGTGATTTATTAATCTACTAATAAATCCTTTCATGGCAGTCCCGTCTATCACTTTATTGTGAAAGACCAGATTTGTCCGTTCTGCCATAAGTACCCTCCTTGTTTGGCTAAGTAGGATTCGGCAAGACAATGAATTTTAGTCAATGATTTGAAAACTTACTTTTCTGGATCTTTATTCACGTAGAAATTCCGTAGCTCAGGTCCTAGTTAAATCGGGGAGCCCCAAATTACCGTTGGTATTTATATCATCAAATTCTGTTAGGTCTCGACCAGACCCTAGAAAATCCTTGGATAGCTTCTTCAATTTCACGATAAAGAGAAATATGTCCAACAGTGGTTCGAATATATAAAAAAGGAGTTTCTTTTCTTATACTTCGGACTATTAGATAGTGTCCATAAATCTCATAATAAGTCCCTCGAGATTCGTAATGAATTTCTATTAAAGTTTCTCTTGAAGTAATGGCGCGTTGATCGAGTCTCCATCGGAGCCACAAAGGACTATCTAAATTTATTTGTTTCTTCCGATAAGTTCTAATTGCATCATAGGAATTACAAAAAAAGGGTTCATTTTTATACTTATAATTACGATTGTCACTGCTTTGATTTCGTGTATTACATTTAGTTGCCCTATTAAGACAAATACCTCGACGATTCTCATTCGTTAATACATAAAGTCCAATAACCATATCTTGAGTTGGTACGGAAATGGGATCCCCAATAGCCGGAGATAAAAGATTCATATGAGAAAACATAAGTAAACGGGCTTCGGCTTGAGCCTCCAATGATAAAGGTACATGAACAGCCATTTGATCTCCATCAAAATCTGCATTGAACCCCTTACAAACTAAGGGGTGTAAAAAAAATAGCACGCCCCTCCACTAAAATGGGCTGAAATGCCTGTATGCCTAATCTATGGAGAGTGGGCGCTCTATTCAGCAATACAGGATGCCCTTGCACAACTTCTTGAAGTATTTCCCATACAAGTGATTCTTTTTGTCGAATTTGCCTTTTTGCAACCCCTATATTCGAGGCAAGATGTTTTCTTATTAGATCGCGAATGACAAAAGGCTGGAAAAGTTCGATTGCTATTTCACGCGGCAAGCCACATTGATGTAATGAAAGCGAGGGGCCAACGACAATAACAGAACGTCCTGAATAATCAACTCGTTTACCAAGCAGAGTTTCACGGAATCTTCCCTCTTTGCCTTCAATTATATCCGAAATTGATTTGTAGACTTTATTGTGCCCATCCCTCATTGGTTGCCCGCGGATTCCATTATCAAGAAGTGTATCCACAGCCTCTTGTACTAATTTCTCCTGGCATATTATTAATTCATCTGGCGTAGATTTACTTGTTTTTAATAGATTGGTAAGTGTATTATTCCTATAGATAATTCTTCGATAGAGTTCATTAATATCTGAACTCATAAGTTTCCCCCCATCGATCTGAATAATAGGTCTCAACTCAGGAGGAATTACTGGTAATAGACATAAAACCATCCATTCTGGTTCTATATTTGTTCGAATAAAATGTTTAGCTAAGTCTATCCGTCTAACCAAAAAATCCTTTCGTCTTGTAGCTTTTCGATCTTCCCATTCATTCCCTGTGCGCTTTTCTTCCCCCAAATCTTTCCATTCTAGTAATGAATTTTCTGCAATCATTCGCAAATCTATATCGGCTAATTGTTCTCGGATAGCACAGGCCCCCATAGAAATTTCTCGATTTCGAAATGTATTGAAACCTTGAGTATTGAAAAAAAGTCGAATGCTATATTTCCACGATTGGATTTCATCTTTGAATAAACCCCGTAATCGTAAGAAAGTGGGTTTTTTAGTTATGGGCCTAGCAAAAGAAAAATTGGGATAGGATTTTATAAGAGTTCCCCCCCTCAAAATCGGACGTGAATGTTTTCTTTCATCCGGCTCAAGTAGGTACATGAAGTAAACAATAAAGAAGAAAAGAAACACAAGTATCTCTTCGTTTCAAATTATTGACAACCCCAAATTCAAAAGATAAAAAGTTCTACTCCTTACTCAAGTTTCCATTGATGGCAAAGCAATATATAACCCGTACTATTTCATTTTTGATTTATATTGAATTGAGTCTTATTCTAATTTGGGAATTCTTTAAGTTCAATTACAACATAAATGAAATGTAAAATTTTTGAGTAGTCTCCTTCCCCTCGAACAATGAATCCACTACGTATTAATAAGGAAACGCCATATTAGTAAAGTAGTAATTTAGAATTAATAAGGGATTTACTTGTCTCTAGATTGTTCCATTTGATCTTTTAGGCCCCACTATATATATCTCGATGGTTAGGCGGACGCTAAGCCCTTTTTACTAAAGCCTATATGCGATCAATAAACTCCTATAACCATGCCCTAATTTGCTTACTTGAATTTCCAAATGAGAGGAAATAGGAAATTTTAAGGTTCATTCAACAAAACAAAAAAGTTTCTTTTTTTTTACGAGGTACAAAGAAAAAATCCTATTTATTTGATTTGGAATGAAATCAACCATAGATCAACTCCCTTTTTTTTTGTGGAAGTGTAATTACTACATCCCAATTCTGAGCTTCATGTTTTGCTTTCCAATTCACATGTCAGGTCTAGGGCATCCCAATTGGATTAACTGGGATAACAGTTTCTTGTTCTGAATCTGTAAAATCAAAATTTCGATCAAATCACACATCGCCATATACTAAGCCCTCTAACTCTTGAAGAGGTTTATCTAAAATATTCGCAATATAACTAGGAAGACGTTTTAAATACCACACATGAGTTACTGGGCAGGCTAGTTTGATATAGCCCATTTGATACCTTCGGATCCGAGAATCCACAAATTCAACTCCGCATTGTTCACAAAATTTGGGTTTATCTTTTTTATCTCCGATAACTCGATAATTTCCACACGCGCAAATTCCACTTTTGATAGGCCCAAATATTCTTTCACAAAATAATCCATCTTTTTCTGGTTTATTTGTTTTATAAAGAAAAGTATAAGGTTTTGTTACCTCGCCAACTATTTCACCATTTGGCAAAAGTTTACTGGCCCAAGCACTTATTTGTTGAGGAGAAACCAATCCAACTCGCAGCTGTTGATGTTTATATCGATCAATCATAAAATAAAAATTTTTATTAGTTCGGATTAGATTAAGCTTCCTTCCTATGAATCTGGAAGTTCTTTTCAGATACCAGGATATAATTCAGTTCCAGAGCTAAAGATCGTAGTTCTCGAACGAGCAATCTAAAAGATTCTGGAGCATTTTTTGTATGAGATATTGTACCTCCAAGAATCGTAGTACCAAGTACTTGCTGACGAGCTCTAATATGATCCGATTTATAAGTAAGCATTTCTTGTAAAATATGAGCAACCCCAAATCCTTCGAGAGCCCAAACCTCCATTTCCCCTACCCGTTGCCCCCCCTGTTTCGCTCTTCCTCTAAGGGGTTGTTGTGTAACAAGCGCATAATGTCCACTGGAACGCCCATGCAGTTTATCATCAACTTGATGAAGTAATTTCAAGATATAAGCGTTACCTATTAGGATAGGTTGTTCAAAAGTATTACCCGTTCTTCCATCAAATATTCTACTTTTTCCTGGGTATTCGGGTTCAAATGCCCATGGATGCGCTGTTTTTTTACTGGCTTCATGTAATTGAGAAAATACTATTTTTCTCGAAGCTTCTTGTTCGTATCTCTCATCAAAAGGTGCGATTCTATAATGTCTATCTAGCAAACTCCCTGCTAGCCCCAGTGAACATTCAAAAATCTGTCCTACATTCATTCTTGAAGGTACTCCTAATGGGTTAAATACCAGATCAATCGCTCTTCCATCTTGTAAATAGGGCATATCTTGTTTAGGCAAAATTTTTGAAATGATACCTTTATTTCCGTGCCTTCCAGCTACTTTATCGCCCACTTTTATTTCACGTTTCTGTAAAACATATACCTGAATCTTTTCCAGATTAGAATTGTAAAGCCCTTTCTTCTGTATCCACCTTACATCAATAACCCGACCCATCCCACCTATAGGGACTTTGAGACAAGTTTCTTTTGACGTAGATACCTGAATACCAAGTATGGCTCGTAATAATCTATCTTCCGGTGCATACGACGATTCTTTCACCACGTGAGGTGTTAATTTACCTACTAAAACATCCCCTGGCTGTACCCAAGATCCCTGCATTATAATTCCATTTATATCTAAATTGCGAATTAAATGGGCTTCTAAATGAGGTATCTCTTTAGTGACTTGTTCAGGGCCTTGGCTTGTCACATTAGTTTTAATTTCAAATTTCCTTATGTGCAAAGAAGTATAAATCTCTTCATATACCAAGCGTTCGCTAATGAGGACTGCATCCTCAAAATTATAACCCTCCCACGGCATATAAGCTACCAATAAAGTTTTTCCGAGAGCAAGTTCGCCTTCAACCGTAGCAGCACCTTCCGCTAAAACTTGTCCCTTTTTAATAAATTGCCCCGGTTCAACCTGAGGTTTTTGATGCATACACGTATTTTTGTTTGAACGTTGATACACAACTAATGGAATGCTTAGAATCTTTCCAAGGCCAGAGACCGATACAAATATATTGTCAGTATCTGTATAAACAACCTTTCCCATGTGGGCGGCTAGAACAAGAGACCCTGAATCGAGAGCTGCGTGGTGTTCTATCCCTGTTCCAACAATGCATTTCTCGGATCGAGCAAGGGGAACTGCTTGCCGTTGCATATTAGAACTCATTAAGGCTCGATTCGCATCATTATGTTCGATAAAAGGAATGAGGGAAGCTCCAATAGAAAAATATTGGAAGGAAAAAATACTTCGAAGATGAACTTGCTCCCATGCAATAGTAAGGAATTCTTGACAGTATCTAGCTGG